CCCGGCTGAGCTCACCGAGGTCATCCTCAACCCGGGCCACGCCACCGCCTACCGTGTCGACCCCATCGTCTAAGCCAGCCGGCGCCGGACAGTCAGCCAGCTGCGGCCACGGCCGGCCAACAGCGGTCGGGCGTTCATGTCGCTAGTCACCGAGTACCCGTGTCGCAAGTGTCGCAAGTGTCGCACGCGCGCAGAGGGCGCAAGTGTGGCAGCGGCTCGCGCAGCGCTGGCGTTTGTGTGAGCGCCGGCGCTGCACCAGCGCGCCAGCTGCCAGCAGTGTGCCTCTCTGTCACGCACCGAGCGACAGTGCCGCCTGCACTGGGTACGAAACGCCGCACCAGCTCACAGACCGGCCTAACTGGTCCATGACTACCTTCTTGTGCTCAATCCCAGGATTGACACGTGATTCTTACTGGGCTCATCGTCTTCAATACATATTTTCGTATAGAAGTTAATTTCTGAGCATACTGAGACAACACACTGGTAAGCCACGCAAGCTTGACATGAAACATGAAGCACTGTAGGATACGAAACAAAAATATATTTACACGGGGGGGGGGGGGAGGGGAAGGGGATGAACGGCACCATTTCGTAGCGTTCCGTGTTTCACCCGGCCCAGAAATCACATGCAACGGCTATGCCGCCTAGAGGCTAGCTGCAATGTTCTTAACATCATACCTCGCTCAAAAGAGGCGAGCCACCTTGTTCTTTGCAAGACTGCCGGCCATGCTTTATAAGTGGCAGCATCTCAAGCGCAAGTAGAAAGGACGCTGCCAATAACTACGACTCCACGAGAGCTGCACAGGAGCTGAAAGACAATACCGGTATCGTCGTAAGGAGGACGGATAGGTCCAGAGTGCTTGTCGTAGATTACCACAAGGAGCACCATCACAAAACGCGGGCCATTCTGGCAGATCAAAGCCCGAGGGGATCACCAGCAGCCCGGTGGAAGAGCTCAACCCCACACCGGGTGCTATAATTCGTCGGGCGAGGAGAAGCAGACCCCCCCCCCCCATGCCCCCATCCCAATCACGGGATGAGTTGTTCGATCGGACAAGCTCAATGACGACTATTGTCCAGGAATTGTCGAGTCGATACCTGCCCAGTGACCAATGATGACACATGCTGTGACAAAGCCTCATCAATCGTTAAGTGTTCGCACGGCCTCAGGGCCCTCAAGCGCGCGGCCCGAAACCGGCAACGAAAGGAAAGCATGCGCTCTTTGCACTCTATAGGTCAGGTGATGATGTCATCATAGGCCGAGGGTCAAGATCAGGTCATGTCAAGATCCGGCCGAGCTCAAGTTACCTCGATGTTATGACCTTTCTACTCTTCCAGGTTGGATGACACACATAAACCATTCGTTTTAAAACGTGTCGTTACAACGATTTATCTGAGCACATATTTGTATTTCGATAAACAGACATATTTTTCCACCTTTTTGGGCCCACACATGAGCGCATCTAGCACAACCTGTGATGGCGAATCGGGGTGTTATTCTGATAACGCAGCTGACTGCCTGGCAGTACCCAATACACACATTCTAAATGGATGTGATTGGCAATACCAGCACCCGAAATACGCTACAAGCATATGCACACGGCCTTTTCCAAGTCGCCCTTGACATCCGGACGGCTGCTTGCGATGCCGATGTTTGTGATACAGCCAGAATACCACTATCATATAAGATTGCCAGAGGCACTGAGGGATCTGATGTCGCTTATGCCGTCTTATTAAAAAAATCTGCGAGGGATACGCGCGGGTCCACTACCCAGCCCATAACATCACAAAGCGCGCCCAATAAGCGCTTCATCGGCAAAAAGTTGAGCCCGGTGCACCTTATACCATCTAAAAAAGTGGCGCCCACACAACAAAGATTACGACGTATCCCCGTCCATATCCGCCTACCGCTGTGGCAGCTCAGCCAGGGAGTGGGGTGGGAGAGGGGATGGGATGGGGGGGGGGGGGGGGGGGGGCGGTGAGACCGCGGGCGGAGCGGCCGCGGCGGCAGAAGGCGGGCGGATGACCCTGCCCGAGGGACGGGAGCGGCGCCAGAGGACCACGCCCTGTCTCCGGCCGCGCCGCCTCCCCTCCCATGGCCGCGGCCCGCGCTGGCACGCGCCTGTTCAGACAGCAGCCGTGCGTCCGCAGGGCGTGCCCGGCACGCGGAAAGACAAGGGGATTCCTTTCCTGGCCACGTCAGCTACTGTTGAAACAGATTGCAGCGGTCCAAAAACGGTAGAAATGAAGCTTTACACCAAAGAGTTTTGGCCTCCGACAATGACCATGTACAGACCGCACATGCTGCAGGTATAGGACGTCTTTGCATGTTCTGCTTTACTTGATGTCCGCTTTGTCAAGAACGTTATTTATACCTCAGCGTACAAAGTCTGCAAACTGTCGGCCGTGGAGGTAGTATGCCACAGTTGTGTACCTTTCAGTCAAATGGGGTGCGTCCAATTTGGTCGGCGTTGTCGATTTCCCCGAAATCCTGAATGGTTATGTATTTAGATTTCAGGTAAACGCACCGGAGGCAAGAATGCCAGTGGACTCCCTGATCACCACTCTGAAAGTATTGCTTCTTCTTTGCTTTGCTTTACTTTGCTTTACTTTGCTTTGCTTTGTGTGTTATTTCATGTTTGTAATACACTTATCGTCCAAATTCTTGGGCCATAAATGTCATAACGGTTTGAAACACTCCATTTAGGAAAAACGGCATACACATATGGGGGGGGGGGGGGGATTATCGCGCAAACTCAGCTTAACTTCATACTGCGCTTTTATTTTCCCCTATGACGTTAAGCAAAATGACTTTCAAAGTGCACTCTGGCTTTGAAAGGACATTCGTCCAAGTGGACGCTCAGTTCAGTGCAAAGCTGTGTTTGCAAATCAAAGTATAAACCAGCGACATATCGTGTGGTAACGCACATACTCAATCTTCCACCAATGCACTGCTCGCTAAGTGCGCCAGGGGCCATATTGTTGGTGGTCGTGGGCTGCGGGCAGCTTTTCTCTTTACCATGAAAGCTTTCAAATCAATTTCGAACGAGATCGACTGAAATCTCGCGAGCAGTCGCAGAGCCTCCGATGAATATCTCACTTGAATGTGTTGAATGCGCCGAGATCGTTCAACCCAGAAATGAAATCTGGGGCTACGGAAAGAGAATCCGATGCTGTGTCGAAAGAATTTAACACTGCATATGCTTTTTGTGCCTTGGTGGTACTGCAGTCATACTCACCTGTACTACTTGTGAGCTTCACGGGCCATGAGGTTTCACCAGAGCATGTTTTTGAAATATGCTCCAAAAGGACACTCCCCTTGACGTGGCCTCTATGGGAGGCGAGCACGTCATAGAGGTGCTTTCACCAAAGCAGCGGTTTGGTCCATGGCTTTACCTACAGCAGAAGACAAAGCGCAAAGGTGGCAGCATTTCAGCTGCTAGATAGTTGCTGGTGTTGAAAATTTCATGGTCATTCTACGAGAAACAAAAGGAGGAGCTTTTTGGCACAACCAATCACGTTTATGCTGATGTAATCAAAGATAATCTTGCATGCTGACTCAGCACGATCATCACCGCACATACAGCGTAATCCGTTGTGATTTATGATATACAAAGCCCAACTTATGTTTTACAGGGCCATGAGCGGCCCTTCTATGTAACAGAAGGGCGACTACTGCACGTACCAAGTTCCAGCTGCTTATAAACTCAATCAACTCGTTACACCCAACAAACGGGCGCTCGCCAGAATTCCTAACTCGATTTTCTAGAGAAGTGCGCCATGCTTGGTTGTCCAGCCGAAGAGGGAAGCGAGAGAAAACGCAGGAGGTTGGATCTTGAGCTTCACCACACACGTTGACGAGAAACTCCTTGGAAAAATTAAGCTTGGTGAAACAATCAAGAAGACCAACATGGCGTCAGTCAACCACAGTCATTGGAGCATGCCTTCGTGTGCTCTGCACAAATAAGGCACGCTGCGAAAGCTCGCATTCCGCCTCACAATCTAGCTCCTAGCAGCGTGCTGAACAGAAGTGGTAGATATGATAAATGTGGACTGCGACCAGAGAGGTGAAATCATCTATGTTAGAGGAACAAACCCCAATAACCAAACCCTAAGGATTCGTCGCCGCCCGGTTTCCAGCGTTGAGCTTGTACCGAAAGGGCTGGGTCAACCGAACATGATTTCCTAAAGCAAACAATAAAAAAATGTGGCAGATCCTTATCAACAAGGTATGTTGTGTTCTGTTAGTCATTATCCTTCGCACTGCGACCTTAGCCTTACAGCCGCGGGCTGTCAGCTCTACAGGCGGGCTCAAAAGCGGCAATAATCCCGCGGTTCTGCATCTGCTAGGCTGAACAACCGCTTTTCGCGTCACGATTTCACCGTTTTAGCCTCACTCGGATAACAAATGGGAAATTTTCTTTGGCAGGCAAAACCTCTCGCATGTCCACGCAGCGGACAGATGCGGCCGCAGGCTGCCGGCCGGCCAGAATTTGGCCGGGAGGGGGGGGGGGAGGGGCGCGGCCACCAGCGGCCACTGACCTCTGCAGCTGCTGTGTACCCTCTGCGCATTCCAGCACATGCTAGTGTAATACATCCGCAATAAGTGCTGGCTTCGAGCTCACACAGTTCATCCACAGGCCGACGGCGCCTGGCAGGCTACTGATGACGTCACAAGTGACCGGCAGACAGTTTAAGAGGCCGGCTGACAGCATGCTGAAGGACAGCCGCCACGAACTCAGATTATCAGCTCACGAAGCCGTCTGATCTTCCGCTGTTTCTGGTCGTGGTTATTTTCTGAAAAGACTTGAGCTCGCACTTCCCGTCCAGTCCACCTGCTTCCATGCACCAAGAGCAGCAGCTCTCATATCAAACGCCCACAACTGCACGCACCGAAGCAAGCGAGGGCTCGCTGTGATACGGGGCATCACTTCTCTGACTTCCTCCTCCACCTCCACCTGTGCCTAGGCCGACCACTGACCGGCACCCTGCGTACTCACCCTTGCGGTTCTCGCCGGTGCCCTTCAGGCCGGCTCCTCCCGCCTTGGCCTGGATGATGCCGCCCATGGTCTCGGCGCCCTCCTTCACACGCGCCAGCAGGCCTGCGGCACACGCCGGTCCGTCAACCCGGCCGTCCGCGCCCCGCGTCGCGTCCGTCCTCCGGCACACAGGCCAACGGGCCCTGAGAGTCCTGCGGCGCAGCACAGACCGCCACCTTGGCTCTACGTGCGCTGTCGGTATTGTGGCTTTAAGCCGCTGCAGCCGTCTGTGTTTGGGGTCAAGCCTGCCACGCATACTTCACTGCGGTGGTCCGCACAATGCCTCGGCGGTACGCGTGTCACTAGGGCTGCCTGTACCCGGTACCAGTCCCACTACGGTGGTCTGTACCCCGTCTCGGTTCTGCGGTACTCACGTCGCTAGGGCCGCCTGTACCCGTTACCAGTCCCACTACGGTGGTACGTGCTCTGTCTCGGTCCTGCGGTACACGTGTCACTAGGACCGCCTGTACCCGTTACCAGTCCCGCCGCGGTAGTCTGTACCCGTCTCGGCTCTGCGGTACTCACGTCGCTAGGGCCGCCCGTACCTGGTACCAGTCCCACTACGGTGATCTGTACTCGGTCTCGGTCCTGCGGTACACGCGTTGCTAGGGCCGCCTGTACCCGGTACCAGTCCCGCCACAGTGGTCTGCACCCGTCTCAGTTCTGCGGTACACGCGTCACTAGGGCGGCCTGTATCCAGTACCAGTCCCGCCGCAGTGGTCTGTACCCCGTCTCGGCTCTGCGGTACTCACGTCGCTAGGGCCGCCTGTACCCGGTACCCGTCACACTTCAGTGGTCCGTACTCTGTCTCGGTTCTGCGGCACACGCGTCGCTACGGCCGCCCCTACCCGGTACCAGTCCGTACTCTGTCTAGGTCCTGCGGTACACGCGTCGCTAGGGCCGCCTGTACCAGTTACCAGTCCCGCCGCCGTGGTCTGTGCACTGCCAGTCCTGCGCCACACATGTCACCGCCCCGGGCCTCCGCGCCATATGCCGTCAGAACTAAGGCACGCACGCCACTACAGTCGACCGTGATCCTACTGTACCTCTGTAACTGCCGATCCCGTGGCATAACCGTCCCCACAGCCGGCCGGCAGAAGATCAGGGATCATGCATCGCAACGGGCGACGACACACATGTGGAAACATGTGTAGGATCTTATTTCGGAGGCAGGTTGCTTCACTAAGGATACTTATCGCAAGCTTATGTAACCCGGGCGTTGATTTCACAGGCTATATGCAAACCTTCTTTTGCGATTTCTGATGAATGAATAGAACGGCAAAGTGCCGCAGAGAAAATGGGGAACACAGGGAGCGTATGACATCCTACACATGGTTACGAAACTACGAATGAATCTGATATAATCGGCTTTCTCTCATGAAAAAAATGCGAACTGTTAAGGAAGTTTTTTAAAAGATTAGGTACGAATTATTTGATTGGATGAATCTGGGAGATCAGCGCTCATACTAAACACGAAGGCTTTGAGTACTGCAATGCTCGGCACAGACCGTCCTGTCCTCTGACGTCAGCTGACCTTTAGCACGGCCGCTGCCACCGGCGGCAGGCCACCCCTGTCAGGGGCAAACGGCGAGCGTCTGGAGCGATTCGAACTCACTCTGCCACGGGTGGGTGAATCGGAGACGGTCTCACCAACCAGCTGGGCCTCCCCAGCAACGCTTCACTTGCCTCCCCAACGTAAATATGCACAACAGGTCTGCTGGACACATCACAATTGCAGAACCGGCTGAAACTTAAGATGCATGATGGGTGGGATATGCTGCCCAAGGTTGGCGCATGAAACACCTCTAAAATATCTTCGAAACAAAGCATAACCATGTAAACATGTAAGCAAACTCAACAGCACGTCACAGCCGTTGTCTCTCACTGTAAAAATACATACATCCACGCAGAAAACGCTACTAAGAGCAGTACTTAAAATTTCCCGTCTTCGCAACGGATTGTCACGTAAAGTATGTTGCTGTCATGCCCCACTGCTGCTTTAACTGTTTTAGAATATCATAAAATCTTTCAAGAGCAGACTGTGTCATTGCAAGAAATTTGCTACCAGTTCTTTCGGACAGTTCTGTCACAAGTTATTAAAAAGTATGTTACGCTTTCTGCGGAAATTTGTTTACAGCTGATATATTTTGTTCTTTAGTAGTTTCTTAAGTGAACACCGTTTTGCTTCCAGCTGAAAAAACACCCAAATGAACTTAGTGTCCGAATGAGATACTTCATGCGTTTCCCTGGCTCAATCAGTTGCAGCGACTGTCTCTCAATCTATCCTTGGGGGCGGGGGAGGGGGGAGGGGGCTCGAGTCGCTTCGGCGGACGCTATTTGCTCTTGGCTGGGATGGCCTGCGGCCGGTGCAGCGGCCGCTCAAGGTCAGGTGAGGCCCGAGGGCGGGGCGGACCGTGCCCAGCATCGCGGCACGCCAAACTTCCGTCGCCAAATTCTGCCACTGAGCCCTGACTTCGCGATCGAGGATCAGGTAAGGACTCACGGAACAAGTCCTGTTTAGTGTAGACTCCGATCCAGAAATCCATCCAAACAAAATGTTGGGAGTAAGTCAATGAAAAACAAATACATTAGTGATTGTGCAATTTGCATTCAAACGTCTGCAAAATTATTGCAACAACTTCATGCAAAATCTCTTCGTGGAGGAAAAGTCATGTCCTTGCTGTCCAATCCATGCACAGTTAACGCTTTCATACTAATTTAGAAGATGTGGCATGCAATTAGCCAAACAAAAACAAAACGTCCGCATGACAACACTATATGTCAGTGAGCGCCATCACCGGGTGCAAGCGTATGACCTCGTGTTCACTTTACACACCACAGGCCTACGAAAGCTACCACATTCTCCCGGTCCACAAGGCTGACTACGCTTGCCATCGTGCGTCGTGATATAACCACGCCACAGATCGAAACAAAACCGGCTAACCCATCTCCCTCCCGCGAGGGGGCTCCCCACCTCCGACCCCGGCCGGCCCTGAGCCTGCGGCCGGCTGCGGTCGGCCGCGCCGCCGCCGCCACTGACCGACTGCGTCCGGGTTCTCCTCCATCTCGCGGTGAATGCGCTCCTCGAGCCGGCAGCGCACGCCCTGCGCCCGCGTGCGCAGCCGCTTCAGGTCCTCTGTGCAAGTGCCCGCCAGCCAGAGCCAGGCGTGTGCAGAGAGGGATAGACGCCACAGAGAGTGAGAGGCGGAGAGAGACAGAGACAGAGCGACAGCGAGTGGAGAGAGCGAGAGAGAGCCGGCTCACCTCACCCGGTACAAGCGCCGTGGATTACCAGAGTGGCAGGGTGGGAACACGATGAAGGAGGTGGGAAAGGAATGCGGCAACTTGGGCGCATCACGCTTGGTGAGTCACAACAGCTCAGGACGTCTTTAAAGAGATCCGCCCTCCGACGCAGCATTTCTGTGGCACAGCCGTACAAAGTGGTAGCATCTGCTCCTAATTTCTCTATTCGCGAATCGGCACCGAGCGGAGCATCGGCTTTTCGCCGACCTGGTCCTGCTGCGGACTCCGACAGGGGTCCGAAGGAAGCCTGCTTTGCAGCCTCCATCGACTCAATTCGCTCAGGCCCGGCACATGGCAGCGCGTTGTGGTCGTTATGGTTGTTATGGTCGTTTCGTCGAGACCATCCTCTACAACTACAGTGCCTTGGCAGAATCTGACCTCCGCACAGCAAAATGAAAGTCTCGCAGATTATGTGATTATGACAAACACTAGAATTAGGTCTGTGTTCCTAGCCAGAACAAAAGCATTCCAGACGCGCTGGGCGAACTGCACGCCAATGCCTCGTTTTGTATCAAGAGAAACATGCGCGTATGGCTGAGTCAGACAGATTTATGGCTGACACACATGATCTCTTCGCACCTGAATTCAGTGGTACGAAGCAGCGACAAATAAAAAGACAATAGCTGTATAGCGCGCGCGTCCCTCCCCTACGGACTGGACAGCAGGAACAGGGAAGGAGCTGCTGGCCAACCTCAGGACATCTTTCGGACGCGTTAGTGGCACGAAGGGGAGACGCACTTAGAACAGCGGCAGAAATGTGCAGCAAAGCCCACCATCCGCGTTTTCACGCAGCCAGCACGTGTAAGAAAGACTGCACGTGCTGATAACTTACCGCTTCCCTCAGCCCTCTCCTTGAGATGATCCCTGATGGCTTCGCTCTGTTCCTTCAGCTCCTTCATCCTCGACAGGTACCCTGGCGTGGCGGCACAGTCACAATCGCTGCATATAAACGACAACCGAAGCGGTCTCGGAAGACTAGCAAAAAATAGATTCAACCGGCATTGCAAAACAGGACAGATTGTGCAAAACGCAAACATACCAAATGCTTCAGCCACCATATGCTCGTGCAATTTTATCATTTCCGTAAGCCGATGACCAATGTTAACAATGCTACGCATTTCTAGGCCAGAAATCCTATCGCATTTTAACAGCATATGTCACAGCTTATTAAATGATCATTGCCAATGCTCAACGCTATCTCAAGCGATTCACAAACTGCAGCCAAAACCGTAATGGGTGTTCTTTCATCACCCCCGCACAGACACACCACTAATGCATGCTCTTCGAAAACGTGGTTAACGTATAAAATTAGCTTGCACACACTGCAAAGCGGGCTGTACACTGGGCACAGTAAAATTAAGCTTGTACAAAACGTTGCGGTCATAATGCTCAACAATAGCCTTTACGAAACACATTTGTGAAGCGAGCTGAATATGCATATGCATAAGCGCTATACAGCGTGCAGCAGTCGAAGACTAAATGCCAACGTTTTGTCTACAATACAGGGACCCATAAGACGTATGTACAGAAGTCAAACACACATTTGAGCGTGTCCTGAAATACAGGATATGAAACGAAACTTGAGTCATTTGTTTTTGCAGATACGCAGGTAGCTGTACAACATAACATCTTCGACGCATTCCCTCTCGTCACGCAGCATACAACAGGCGTGCAAACAAGCATCAATCCTAAGTGTCCACGCAATAACGGCAACGTCTGAACTCAAGAAAACAGGGCGAAACAAAACGACAGCCAACTAGGTAAGCATACTCCTTGTGAGCTCAGCACGCCGGGAAACCCATTAGGCTGCGGAGATTAGCTTCCCATTCATGCACTATGGGACGCGGAGACTGGATCCGCTGGATGCTCGAGGTGGCCAAGCGTCAATATCTTTTTCACTTTGAACCTGACTCTCCCAAATACCTCCAAGTCCAACCATTCTCTTTTTAGTAAAATCTTATATTTGTATCTATATTTTCAAATTTAGGCAAAACCTTTAATATGCCGCTAGTTTTTGCCGCATCGCCACCAGGGTAAAATTACACCAATGTACCGCGGGTTGTTTCGACCTTGCAGCCGGCTGCCTGAACGCCCCGTAGTCGGCGGCACTGTCCCACCCCTTCTCCGCCCGCCGCGTCGGCCTGTCAGACCGCGGTCGTGATATGTCGGCGCAACCAGTCGAGCCCGTTGTAAGGGCTTGACCGGTGGCTAGGTCGAGTTCTCACGGGTGACCATACCCGAACGAAGGGCACGCGCCAATAGCGGCGAGGAAGGGGGCTACGCGCGGAGACGAACCTCCCGTCTGTGTACTTCCGGCACACCTATAACGATGAAGATTTCCGTGACTTATATCAACGACAACCTTCCGCTTATTCACGCACCATCGGAAATGAACGGTTTCCACATGCCCTATATGTTCCCATGTAAAGCGGATTTATCTTATCCCTGCGTTCCCATCGAACAGGTACGAGCAGCATAGGCCGTCGGCGCAGGATGGCCAACCCCGGACCTCCGGCCGGCCAGTCGCTCCAACCGCTGACTGTTGTCCCGCTGTCCCGTCATCGTCCCACCGCTGGCTGTTGTTCCGCAGTCCCGTTATCCCACCGCTGGCTGTTGTCCCGCTGTCCCACTACTCCCCGGCGGCTGTTGTCCCGCTGTCCCGCTACTCCCCGCCGGCTGTTGTCCCGCTGTCCCGTTATCCCGCCGCTGGATGTTGTTCCACTGCCCCTCCAACCTACCGTCGGCGGCCCGCCCACACGCGCCGACAGCTCGCGCCGCAACCTCGCCCACAGCCGGACCCAACGGTGCAAACCTTCGGTCATCACCCCAGGCTGACATGCCATGCAGGGTAGGTGCTCCAAATACTGCACGCACACACACACACACACAACGCCAGGCTCGTCTGCGCGCGGCGGCGGCCGGCGGCAAGACCTCACCGCGCGTGTCCTTCTCCTTGAGGCGCTTCTCCACGTCACCGGCCTTGTGCTTCACACGGCCGAAAAACTCTGCGCCAGTCAGGCCCCGGCAGTTATGACCACGTCCTCCAATCAGGAAATGTACATTTGGCAGCAGGGTGGACGCCTTGCTTGAACGGTAACCGGAACGGAACGGAGCGGAACTTGAACGCAGATCACACCCACGAGCTCCCGCAGTGGGGAAAATAAATCATGCGCCGGGTTGCCATGACTCGGATGGTACCGAGGTCGTCGCACAAGAACACACTGGAATGTTACGGACAGTTGGAGCATCGCGGCCTGGGTGACCCATGAGGGGCAATGCCTGTCTTGAAGGACCAACATCGCTCCATTAGACATTGTCTCGCTGTGGCCTGTTCACTGGGGCCGCCGGGCGGAACGTCAGACATGCGATGCAGCCCACAATCCCGCAACGCACTCCGGGCGTTTGCTTCTCCCACCAGGCTCACCACTACTCCACCCTTGATCTGCGAGCCATGATGGGACAGACGAGCAACCAAAAACCCAAAAGGTCAGGGCCGTTGCAACCGGTAAGACCTAGCACGGGTGGTTTACGCACAACCGAATTGATTATTTGAGGTACTGCTGCACGCGCGGACATCCCGTGCACACCAGCCGACCTTGCTTGGCCGGGTGAGCTCAGCACCACTGTGCGCCTGAACCAGCGGCCCAGCACTCGGCGCCCGCGGCCCGCCGGGTCTCATCAGCTCCGTCGGCCTCAGAGCCGCGGCGATGCTTGGGCAAACCTCAAACGCCGCGCCTTGAGCTGACCCCACTGGCTCCGCCGCACCTGGCACACTCAGCCGTCCTCGCCGTCGGCAGCGCGGCGCCTGCCTGCTGGGCGGCGGCGGCGACCGCCGGGCGCGCGCCGGCGCTGCCGTACCTGAGATCTTCTGCTGCGCGTCCGGCGACTCGGAGCGGGTCAGCTCCAGCACGCGCTGGTACTCGGTCAGCTGGATGAGGCCGTGCTCCTCCAGCGCCTCGGTCGACATCTGACTGTAGGCCTCCGTGAGCAGGTCCACTGTCGGCCAGTCCGCCCGGTCACCGGCGCCCCGCGCCCCACGGCATGCGCCCAAGCCGAAGCCCCCACCGGCAGCCCGGCCGGCCGCTACACGCCCATCCCCAGACATGTACCGCAGGCAGTCCGACCACAGCCGGGATGTTCGGCGACGCGCCCAGGGAGAGCGGCAAGGCAGCCCCGTATGCAGAGTCGCAAGCAGACGGTGCCGGCGGCGGGCGGCGCCGGCCGCTGGGTCGACGGCAGCCCGCCTCCACACGCGCCCCCCAGGTCACCGGCCGTCCGGCGGCGCTCACCGATCAGCGACTCGACGTCGAAGAAGAGCACGTGCCGGTCGGGGTCGGCGGCGTTGGTGCGCAGGCCCTGCACCATCAGCGCGTACGAGCGCGGCTTGCCGGACTCGTGCTGGCCCGGCAGGCTGTCGGCGTTGTTCTGCAGCTGCTGCAGGCCTCGCTGCGGCCCGACGGCGGCGGCGTCAGCATCGGCAACCGCCGCTCGGGTCCTCCACGACCTCACCAGCGGTAACGGGCCGACAAGTGGGAGTCACCACCACCCCAGCCCGACCTCTGCCCCAGCCGGTTGGGGAGCACGGCGCTTTTCGCGACTCGCGGCTGCTGGTGCCACGCCGCAGGGGCGTCAACGGACTGCACGGCGCGGGCTCGCAGTCCACGGCACAAAACCCAAACAGCACGCCATGGATTCGGGTCCGTTTCCGTCCGCTTCCCGAGCTCAGGGAGCCGGGGACCTGGCCAACTGCAGCGTCGGAGAGGAAAGGCCCAAAACGCGCCCGGCTGCCATAGTCCCAGTATGAGTTGCCTTATCCGGGAGAAGGTACCCCACAGCCAGCTGATGACTGCAGTCTCCTGGTCGAGGAAGTCAACAGTGCTCTGTTCAGCGAGAGCTAACACCGACGCCGGAGCGGCCAGTTCACGCACAGTCCGATAATGTTTGCAACTGACATGGCGAACCATTGGTTGGGTTCTGTTTTCATGCAGGCGCAATTTAGAAGGCGAGAGACGCTCGAAGACGGCTTTAAAGAGATAGAATTGCCCGCTCCCCTGTGACGGATCGGTCGGACAATGTTGAACTACGTTGATCGTTCAATAATCGTATGCTCGTTTACAATGCACCGTTAGCCTGAACTCCTTGTCTGCACTTAATCCCCAAATTTGATGTCGACGTTACCATCACCCACCAATGAAGTAGTCACCATCCACGTTTCCAACGTCGCAACAAAACGAACCTGATCCCCAGCCCGTCCGTGGGGAGAGGCGCTACCTTGGCGGCGTGCCGTATTGCCGACAAGTTGCGATGTCGCAGCCCGCGGAAGAAGTGCACGGCCGGGTTGGCCATGCCGCCCTCGCTGATGGAGACCGTCATGTTCTCGTCGCAGGCTGACAGCACCTCCTGGGCGGTGGTGCCGTGCACCACGCGGTCCAGGTGACCTGTCGCAAGCAGCGCTCGGTCACAGTCTGTAGCAGCCCTTGGCCCCTCGCGGTGTTTTGCTGCAACTCGTCACAGTTCTCTGGTACGACGCATGTTACTGAACAATCGGATCCAACCCGCAACGGCCTTTCACTACGGCCTGTCGCACCGCTCTGTAACAGCCTATAACAGCGCTCTGTAATAGCTTGTCGCAGCGCTCTGTAACAACCTGTCGCAGCACTCCGTAACAGCCTGTCGCAGCGCTCTGTAACAGCCTGTTGCAGCACTCAGTTACAGTCTGTAGCAGCCTTAACCACGGCATCAGTCGCAACCTGCCGCAGCGTTTCTTTGTAACCTGCCATCGCGTTCTGCCACAACCCGTCATGGTTCTGGTCACAACACTCTGCCTTGAATCTGCCACTGCGCTCTGGCATATGCCACGATCTGTTACAACACTCTGTTACGATTAGTGACCGTCCCCTGTCAGAGCAAACGTTCACAAAATCGTGCGAGTCTGTCGCAAAGTTCCGCTGCAGCCTGTCACCCTACTCTATAGCAAGTCACAACGCTCTGTAACAGCTTATCATAGTCGCCTGCCAAGACCTGAGGCAACGCTGTCACGCCCGGTCAGTCTGTCACAGTCTGATGTTATAACCTGTCGAATCACTTTCACAATGTGTCAAGGCGCTGTTGGGAACAGCCCCGCGCCTCCGTCACACAGTCCGCACACCGGCCCGGTCAGCAGCTCTACGGCACAGTGCCTCCAGGCTAACACAGCTTGTCCACATGTCTTGCTCAGCATATCCCACCAGCCATTCATTAGGGGTAAGTCACTCCCCACATCTGTTTAAATACGGCGAGCCGGTGCTTTTGTGGTGGCAGAGCACGTTCAAAAATAAACAGTGACGATCTTTTTGCATAACGCAGAACTCCATTCGTGTGGGGCCAAAACGTCTAACTGTTTCTTGTTTGCTGTTGTTCTGAAGGCAAATCTTAAGAGCACACCGCAAAATGCCACTGGTTCAACGTCTTCTGTGATTAGCGACAAGCCCCACCGACGAGCACCGCTAGCCACACCTGACCAGCTACACCGGCGGCCCCACCGGACCCGCCGACACACCGGTCCCGTCCACCAGCCCCCACCGGGCGCGCCGACCCCGTCCCACCAGCGGCGCGCCGACCCCGACCCACCAGCGGCGCGCCGACCTCGCCCCACCAGCGGCGCGCCGACCCCGTCCCACCAGCGGCGCGCCGACCTCGTCCCACCGGGCGCGCCGACCCCGTCCCACCAGCGGCGCGCCGACCCCGACCCACCAGCGGCGCGCCGACCTCGCCCCACCAGCGGCGCGCCGACCCCGTCCCACCAGCGGCGCGCCGACCTCGTCCCACCGGGCGCGCCAACCTCGTCCCACCAGCGGCGCGCCGACCTCATCCCACCAGCGGCGCGCCGACCTCGTCCCACCAGCGGCGCGCCGACCTCGTCCCACCAGCGGCGCGCCGACCTCATCCCACCAGCGGCGCGCCGACTCCGACCCACCAGCGGCGCGCCGACCTCGTCCCACCAGCGGCGCGCCGACCTCGTCTCACCAGCGGCGCGTCTCGCCCGCGTCGCTCACCCGTCTCCATCTGCCACACGGAGACGCTCCCGTCTTCGGTCGACACCACGAGAAAGTCGTCCAGAGGCCGCCACTTGACCGTGGCGATGGGGAAGAGGTGGCGCGAGGCCAGCATCAGGCACTTGCGCTCCTTCAGCGACAGCAGCGCCACCGAGTAGTCGTCGGCCACGCTGCAGATGCACTGCTGCATGCGGGGCTGCCGAGCACGTGCGGAACGCCAACGGTCAGCTGTCGCTGGCGGGGATACGCGGCGGGACAGCGGCGTGCGAGGGAAACGGGCACTGGGCACTCACGACTTCTCAAGTGGCACAGGAATGAGACGGACTCAGGCTGAGGTCAATGCGACGAAAACTAACCAAGCGTCGTCAGCGCAAAACCAAAAACGCATGGATGGACATACCTACGATCAAAGCTCAGTGACGTCCTCCGAGTCGAACGAAAAAGACCTTAAGCATGCCATATTTTTCGTGTTCAAACAGGAAAAGGTCGTTCAGAGCTGTAAACAGCGCTGTGTGGTATGGCTTGCTACCTTGACGTTGCCTCAGGATCAACCCCACATTCCACGCTCCAAGTATGGCGCTATTACATGGCACAGATATCCCAAAATTTGTCAGTGTGCCCTATTCCCTGTCCGGCTGTGTTGTGGGACGCTTCCAAGACAAAGCGAGCAGATCATCCTCGGCCGAAAAGACAACACCATTCCTTTAAAAAACAGGGGCCAGCATCTCACCGCAACGAAGCAAACTACTGCAGACAATAACCGGCCCTCGCCGTCGCTCTGATCCTCCTAAACTCACCGACACGGTCTCTGGTGGCACGTGCAGCTGGGAGATGATGCCGGCCTGCACGACGAAGCGGTGCAGCAGAGCACCGCTGAACAGGTCCCACAGGCAGACGGAGAAGTCCTCGCCGCCCGATACCAGCTGGGAGATCTGGTACCGGCTGTGGCTCAGGTGCGGGAACAGCAGAGCTGTCACGCGGCCCCGGTGGCCCGACAGGATCTGGTGGATCGGCCAGTCTGTCGGGACAGCGCCGGTCAGTACAGCACAGCTCGGGTGGCCCGCCAGAATCTGGCGGATCGGCCGGCAGGATCTGGTGGATCGGCCAGTCTGTCGGGACAGGGCCGGTCGGCACAGCACAGCTCGGGTGGCCCGACAGGATCATTTCGAAAAGCGCATTGGAAGCGAGGGCCTTGCGGCCATCCAACCCGAGGCTGACGTTCTGCAGCTGGCGCTATCTCATAGCTCATTGTTCCCTTGAAAACAGCAACTTGTGCGGGGCGCGCAACGCCGCACCACTGCATCCAACTTGCATGTTCTCAGTCCAACCAAAATAGTCAAACCTTGCCTCCAGTTACTAACGGTAGACTTGCAGTACCCAAAACAGGGTTGAAATTCCGTACAGGACATTCCGAACTTCGGAGAAATTCGACAGCCAGCTGCTGAGATTCCCTGGCCCATGGAGCCAGAACCACGCGATAACCGCGCAGGAAATAACACTGGGCCGAGTTTGGTGGCCGGTTGGTCCTCTGATTCCTTAGCGAATGGGGCCAGATCACGTGATACCGCCGCAGAGTAAACACTGGGCCGAGTTTGATGGCCTGTTTGTCCTCACACTCCGTCACAAATTGAGCAGATCATGTGATACCGCCACAGAGTTAATACTGGGCCGAGTTTGGTGGCCTGTTTGTCCTCACATTCCGTAACAAATTGAGCAGATCATGTGATACCGCCGCAGAGTTAATACTGGGCCGAGTTTGATGGTTGTCCTCAGATTTCCTGACGAATGGAGCAGATCACATGATACCGCCGCAGAGCTAATACTCGATCGAGTTTGGTGGCCAGTTTATCTATGATGTCTCAACAGCGAGGTCCAGCACCGTCAGGTCGCAATGCTTCCCAGGATAATCTTGGACATCCCGGCACAAACTGCCCTGTATCGCAAAAATCGCTCATTCACGGTCCTCTTACACTAATTACCAATTGAGACAGTTTTCGTTACACGTCGTTCAAAAAAACTAGTTTGGCGCACGGAAAAGCATCACCGAAAACACCTTAGATATTACGCTAGTGACGTCACACTGTCAACATACTGGCTCAGCAGCCTTCGCTGTAAAGGCCCCGAAACTACGGCGGCTCCCACTCGGAACAAATCACAGGCTTTCATGTCATGCCTTTTGTGAAATATTGGTCTTTGGGAGTGCTGGGCTGGGCGACCCGACGTTTCAGTTAACTCTTCACGAGATACGCGTTGTATACACTTATATATGGGGGTGCGGAGCACAACTAGATACGCATCATCAAGTATGAGACAAAAAGACGCGCAGTCATTGCTGATTCACGTTGAATAAGGTGGCCACGATCCGCGGCGTCGTAGTCTGGCGAAGCAACAGTGGGTTTTTCTTGTGAATTAAGACTCCGCTGAACAAGACACACAGGAACGCCTTCGACGATCCGCTCCATTCCGCATGGCACGGGTTATCAGTAAGATGACGCTGCCGACCGTGCATGGTCGTCAGCTCAGCAAAGCTCACTGTTGTCGCAGCAACGAAATGGGATGAAATTTAAGAAAAATGCATAGGTGTCACACGGTCAAAACTCATCAAGGTGCGCTGGGCTTCTCTTAATTGGGAATGTTGGTGAAGCTCCTGGATGTTTTCCTACCCGGTGCTGCATCTTATGTTGTATGTATATAGGGCCATGCCACGAGTTATTACCAAACAGCTTAAATGGTCAAAAATATATCATACGCGAGTTATTTATAAGAAAATTTAGTTTGAGCCCTTGATTCGATGAATATTCGTGATCGGCGCCCGCACTAAGCTGTGCCTAATGCGTGAGCCCTGACCCCACCACCCGATGGCGAAATCCGGATCAACGGCACATTTTTGCGACGAAAGCTGAACGTGCCGCAACACTCATCTCGGTCCGTCCTGCCCTCTGACGTCGCCTGACCTTTTGCGCAACCGTTGTCACCAGCCACAAGCCATCCCAGTCACGGACGAACCTCAAGCGACTACAGCGACTCTAACCCACCCCGCCATAAAGGCATGAGCTCTAATCAATCGAGCTGTCCGGACGGATGTTCTGATCCCGCCGCGATCATGACATCTGCCAAACCGCAATCCATCACACATAAAGAAGCTCAGCACTGCGAGATACCTGGTGATAACGCGCAATGATGGTGACAGACACCTGGTGATAGATGGCGATAGACGCCTGATGATAGATGGCGATAGATACCTGGTGATAGCGCGTAAAAATAATGTCGGGTGACAAACTGTCCCAGGTTCGTCTGCCATGCAGATGATGGCACAGGTCTGACTGTCGTGACGGAACAGGACGACGCGCGGCACCCCGACACGGCGGCGCGCCCCGCGCGGCGGCACTGACTGTCGTAGCTCTGGTGTTTGCCGTGCAGCAGGTGGAGCATGACGGTGTGCGTAGCCGAGACGATGATGATGGTGCCGTCTTCGCGGCCGCACACCAGCCGGCCCTCCTGCAGCGGCAGGTAGATGCTGGACGTCAGCAGCGGCGCCGAGCCGTCCGCCGACTCCTGCCGACACGCACGCGCCACGCCGGTTACCGGGCGCCGGTGAGCGGCTCGCGCACGCCGACCGAACACGCACGCGCCACGCCGGTTACCGGGCGCCGGCAGAGCACGCTCGTGCGCCGGGCCCATGCCCACTGGGTATTGGCCCACCGGGCCCATGCCCACTACTGACATCACTGGAGCTTCACGCTTCAGTGATGTCAGCGGCCGTGTCCTGCGACATCATGCCTGCGCTGGCTTCCACGGCTGTTTATGTGTGAGACGTCACCAACGATAAGAGTTATAAGCAGAGTTCTAAGTCAGCCACCTGTAAACCAACACGCATGCCGCACTCGGGATTGGACAGGGTACAGTGAGAAAAGACAAGCGAGAACGACGAGAACGAGTACTCGGAGTATCGTTATTGTCGTTAAAACATTTAGTTTAGTTGCATGTTTTCTCCTTCTACTCCACACGAGAGCATTAATCACGCGTTACCCTAGCCGTAATGAGCCTTGCTGCGCGCCGCCTAAGACCCTAGCTGCAGCATCCACAGTCTCATCCTTTAATCTCATGAGCAATGCGGTTTTGAGCCGACACCAACGCCGGCCAAAAGAGCCATGGCCAGCGGAAGCAGATCTCAATCTGAACCAACACTGTTCTTCAACTGCATCAAAAGCTCGGTGGGGATGGCAACACCTTGACCTCGCTTAAACGAACCTGACAGGTCAGCGTGGCAGGCGGCTCAAAATGTGACAGTGAGAGGAGGAGATGACGCACGACATTGTTGTCTGATGAGTTGTTTGCATATTTACTCCAGCACGTCGGGTGAGGAAACCGCAAGAATCAGCAGATCTTGCACCGTACCCGACAGCTTAACTAGTGACAGTGGCGAAACCACTGAAGCAGTTGGGAGGGGGGGGGGGGGGGCTAGGAGAGCCTTATCCGGGAATGGAATGTCTCGTGTAGTCCCGTTAGATCTGTGAAGGCCAACACCAGTTGAGCCCATGACCAGCAGGCCACACCTGTGTCGGCAGCAGGCGAGAAAGTCGGCCAGGGCCACGCTGGCTTCACACTCCCAACGCACGCAGCGAGCGCGGGTCACACGTGCTCACGCCAGTACGCGCACAGACTCCTCAGCACGAGTGACAGTGGGTGCTGTATCCCATGCAGATCGGGATACAGCACACGCTCCGAAGCTCGAAGCCAGGGCGTAAGCCCCTCATCAAAGCGCGGAACGGCCGGCGATCGTCAAGACCTCATCTAGCCACTTATCCACAGTGCGCCAAAAGTGGGGCCGGTGCATTCACTCCCGACGCAGGGCACGTTAGTAGTGGTCATCTGATTTTGGCACTATATCACCCAAGTACACAGAGCAACCCAGCGGCTTCCTTAGCAGAGAGGAACACGGCCGGTGAAAAGCAGCCCACGCGACGTCTCACCAGCTGGTCCAGGACACCGACGGGAGGAGGCTTCATCGACTGCCACGCCCTCTCGATGCTCCACAGCACCGTCGGCGGCATCTCTGCCGGGCAGGGGCGCTGTGCGAGAACGGCGGCCATGTCCACAGAAAAACCACCCTCCCGGGTGGCCAGTGCCCTGATGGGCCACTGGTCGTAACGGAACTGTGGGAGGGGAGGGGGGGGGGGGGGGGGGGGCACGCACATACAATCGTGTACTGAGACGGCAAAATGAGCTGAGAGCCCGGAGTATGACGAAGCTGACCGACGCTGGGGATCGCCGTATCGTACCTGGCGGCCGGTACAGCTGCTGCTGCAGCAGCTGCGCCAGCTGGTTGTTGGTGACGCGAGGCACGCGCCAGATGGCCAGCTGACCCAGACAGTCACCGCGCACCAACAGCTGAATGTTGGCCTCGCCGTGCAGCTCCGTGTGTATACTGACGGGCGGGCTAAACAGCTCCTGCCGGCACACAGCAGACGTCGGCACACGCAGCCGAGCTCCGCAAGCCTGAAACAGCGGGCTGAACATCTCCTGTCAGCACACACAGCAGACGTCGGCACACACAGCCGAGCCTCGCAGCCTGAAACAGCGGGCTGAACAGCTCCTGCCGGCACACACAGCAGACGTCGGCACACACAGCCGAGCCCCGCAAGCCTGAAACGGCGGGCTGAACAGCTCCTGTCAGCACACACAGCAGACGTCGGCATACACAACCGAGCCCCGCAAGCCTGAAACAGCGGGCTGAACAGCTCCTGCCAGCACACACAGCAGACGTCGGAACACACAGCTGAGCCCCGCAAGCCTGAAACATCGATCTAGAGAGCTCCTCCGTTGCAACCCCAGACCTGGAGCCGCGGTTTCAAAGACAGATCTGAAAGGCCAAGACCGACCCACTGAACATGAACAGCGGGTTGTGTCTTCAACAACAAACTGTGCACTGTGGTCGCTTTTAACTCTTGCCAGCATTCATCACGTCGTGTTAATGGCCACACAAAATCCTCAAAACGTTTCAAACAGATAAAAGCAAATTGTTAAAACGGTGCCCGTAGATAACATCTCCCCGAATATTCCTAAGGCTGGAATTCTGTCGACGGCGGTGGCAGGCACAATGCGCATTTTCCCACCCACTTGTTGTATTCTGACGCAACATCCCCCAGTGCAGTTTTAGCCGAGTACACCTCTGGAAAAGTGGGTTCCATAGGAACGAAGTCCTGGAAGCAACAGCCTCAAAGGCTTTAGAAAAGAAGGGACTAATCACATCTTTCGCGAAATCTAGCTACATACGTTTGCATGTTAAGCACAGACAGACATACGTTCCTGGACTCACAAAGGCCACAATAATGAGTTTCTGGCATAGCATACAGCTATCTGATACTATCATGCCAACATGACCTCTGACCTCAGCGTGACCTCAAGTCACGAGAGGCCGTAACCTCTAGCTACTTGGAAGTAAGACAAGTCGACAGCACATGAATCAGCAATCAACTCGACTTTACCTGCTCGCCGGGTGACGACAGCACGCAGTAGAAGGAACGGCTCGTCGGCCTCCCGCGAGTGGAATGCCTCGTGCGTCGGGATGCAGCTGGGGGGTCACGGCGGGCGCGGGTCAGCGGCCCGACGGCCGGGGGCGCGTGGCACAACGTGGTCCAAGGCTGCAGCGCTTGAGCGGACGCCGCTAGGCGGCCCATACGCGCGACACGCACAATCACAGGCGCACACAAACTCAGCAGCAGTAGTACAGCAGTGTTACACGACCGGCCGGGTGCGAAGCTCGTCCAGTGCGATGCCCCGTGAGGGAGGTGCCCTCTCCGAGCTGTGGAGCGCTTCCGCACTGGGTTTGGCCGGGGCCGGTGGTGTCGGCAGCGGGCCGCCGCGCCGGTGACGCGGGCAGGCGCCACGAGTACGGCACAGCCTCCCAGAGGCGCAGTGTGCTCGTCCGTAGGCGAACGGAACACGTCACTTAAGCGTGCGATGTTTCCCGTGGCGTCCGTTTGGCGTGCCATACTTGAGCGAGCGCGGTCCATCTGTGCCTTTGTCGTCCCTTTTCAGGCTTTCATATGCAACCGAATAATACCACTGGTTAGTCAAAGCCTAGGCCATTTGATCCAGAGGTTGTGCAAGGTCACCAAAGTCATTCCGTGGGTTTAGCGTCATATGACCTTGCACTTACGATATTCATGTACGGACACGATATCAATACGTTGCTGAAAGTTTTTCGACAATATGTTGGACCCAGGACCTCGTCTGACATGGCCTCCACATTGAATGACCCTTCACCAATATTGGTATAGCCCCCTTCGCTCACATATTTAACCTGTATGCAATGACAAAGGAAAGGTTATTAACTCTGACCTGCAGCGGAAGGTCTTTAGATTGAGAGGCTAAACACAGGAACACAGTGACCAGGGAAGAACAATTTTTACCCATGTATGCCACTCATGCCACGAATCCAGTGCACTCAATGTATCAAAAAAAGCAAAAACAGTCGAGGTAAATTGGACCACCAATGACTGGAAACCAGCCAATGACAGGTACACTACAAGAAAGACCATACATACAAGACAATAAAGTCGCATAACATACAAACCAGAAGGATGCTTATCATTTCCCGCCATACGTCACAAGTGGCTGATCCTCAGCCCCGTTCACAGGCAGTGGCATATCACTAATGGAAAGCCCACGGTCAGTTACGTCAGGACAACAGCCGAGCGCACCTGTAGTTGCCCTCATCCCTCACATTTCACAAGTAGAGGATACGAACTGCTTGGAAAGAAATGAATATGTTTTGGTTGTCAAGCCTTGACGCCAGTCTTGCATTAAAAAGGTACAATATGTTATTGATTATTGATATTGACAATATGTTATTGACAATATGTTATCGATTAAAGGTACAATATGTTACTGATTACATTAAAGATACAATTTGGCTATGTTTGACCAAATCAAACCTGGCAAACTGATTCGAAGAAGAGCTAACCGTTGCGTCTCATCCCTTCCACAGTCGACAACCTGGTCGGCTAACATCCCCATCCCATCCACATCCGCTCCAACATCCGCCGGCAGCCACGCCCCAACCCACCAGGCAGCCAATGGCTGCAGCGTCGCCAGCTGCGCTGGCACCGACGGAAGCCATCCCCGCCCGAATCACTTCACAACGTCTATACTGACCATCACCAGATGTGTGCGGAAACGGCGTGCGAGGGGAGGGAAAGGGGTGAGACTACAGGTCCGAAGAACCGAACAGGCTGACCAGCTCTACGGCTCCATGCAGCTAGTGCAGTGCGGCGGCAAACGGAAGCACGAAAGAAATGAGATGTAGGATCTACTGACCTAACTGCCTTTCCTCGCAGTTTTCTGTCAGAAAAGAGAAATCATTCAGAGGAAAACTAGAATCGAGTGGTGCAGATGTCACATTCCGACTCATCCACAGGGGTGGCCATGACCAGGATGGAACTCCAACAGGTATGTACAGCACTCAAATACCGGGAGGTGACTGCTGTCCTGTAAAACTAAATGTCATTATCTACGAAGTGTCAAAACTGTTAAGTGCCATTTTATGCCTTGTGGCTATTGAATCCAACTGATAACAGGCTGGCGGGTCTTTCGGAGTCTTAAAAGACCAACTCGTTGGGTTCAGCCCTCGTTTGAAAGTAAGCACAACAGATTTAACGACGTCCGAGAGCCGTTCTACAGCGCCGAGAGCTAATCGGAGCTTCGACAGCCGCTAAACCGGCGCAGGGCTCGCGAGCCGCTCGACGACCACGCGCTCCGTTCACCCGCCGGCCGGCCGGCGCTGCCACTCACTTGGGCGGCAGCCTGTAGATGAAGGCGTGGCCGGAGTCGGCCCACACGATGACCCGGTCGGCGGTGAGGAACTCGCCGCGCTGCCACCGCTCGCCCTCGTCACCCGACGACGAGCACAGCACCGAGAAGTCGGACGCGTCGTAGATCTGCCGGGCACGCGGCACGCGCCGGTCAGGCCGCCGGTGTGTTCGGCATCGGCTGACGACGCTCCTGGAGTGTCCCCGTTGCGCCGCTGCTCGCCGTCGGCGCGCCTCGCAGCGAACCGTGCGTGAAAGCCCGAGAGAAATCCGGAAGACTGGACGGGAACGCCAGGACCGCGGCATCGCTTCCCAGCTGCCGTTTAACGCGGCTCCGTGTCGCTGCTTCCCCAACGAGACGAATCATTTCACCTTAGATTAAAGCCATGACTACAATCACGGAAGAGTGATGTTTCGCTGACAATCGCCACAGCAGCATTTTTAGAATGGTTTTGACTATACCACGTTCGTTCAGCAGTCTCCATGCTAGCTGCCCCCCTGTCCCGCCCCCTACCGGGCGCGCCCCCGTGTTCCCTTGCCCGGGACGCGAGACAAGGCGACGGCAGGTAGGATCGGGTCCTTTCGGGACACCAGGGCCAAGGGCAACCGGCATCGACCGGATCAGCCGCGGGCAGCATTCACGCTTACAACAATGGAGCAGTAGACGAACCAATGCCTCAAAATTTCGTCATTATTTTACGTTTTAATCCTTTTTTCGTACCCTAAATTTTAATCGAGGGCCACACGGGGGAGGGGGGGGGGGACATTCCGTTCCCTGCGATGCCGAACTTATCTTGACCAGCTACGGCCAAAAAGAAATTTGGTGGTCAGCATTTTTTAACTCGACAAAATTTGAGAAAGAAAATTTTATAAAAATGTCAACGTATGCACTAGTTCAAAAAAGCATGCATCATAAACCAAGTTCGTGGTGATGCCTGTGCGGTACACCAGTGACACGTGCACCACTCATAACTGATGCCACTCTTCCCCATATTTCTATGCCTGTCACCAGGCCTGTGACTTATGCATCCGGCTCTCCGCCATCTGGACTATGCCGAGATGAAAAAGCCACTTTCCTCCGCTGAAATCTGGGCAACAGCCATTCAAATCCAGGCAATTGCCCTGTTTACGACTGTATGGGCGGCAGTCTAATGAAACAGTGTGTTTTCTCGCGTGGCAGTAGTCAACAAAAACACCGGTCAGACTTGACAATGGGAATGGTGAGATAGAGCCTCCTGTATGGTCTCACAAAGCCGGCCGGAGGGAAGCCGACTGCAGCAATACCAGCGGAGTGCAGACGTGCCGTGCTATGCTGAGAGATAAATGATGTGATACGGAGTGAATGGATAGTGCTGTGGGGTGAATGAGAGGAGTACTGTTGATTGGACTTGTGGCGTGCTGTGGAGTGGATGAGAGTAGTGCTGTTGATTGGATGAGCAGAGTGCTGTGGAATAGATGAATTGAGTGTTACGGAGTGGATAAATGGGAAGCTGTTAAATGGGTGAGTGGATTGCTGAGGGATGAGCAGGTAGAAGCGCCTCGCAGTGACCTAACAAGATGCACATTAGTTAAGCCAGGTTACCTTGCTGCAGCACAGTGAAACAGTCATCCTTCATAGGTGGAGTATGGCGGGACCATCACACAATGAGTTACCCAAGCTAAATTCAAAACACACTCAGGACTAAAACGACTGAAACCCCAGATAAAACGACTTCAACATTGGGTACAACCACGGACTGAATGCAGCAAACGCCCCTGACCTGCCACATGCTGGAGGACACCACGAGCACGGTGCGCGGGTTGTACGAGCAGCACTTGAGGAAGTTCACGCCGCTGGACCTGATCCGCTTGCTCTCGTTCTCGTACACGATGTCGCTGGAGCACTTGCCCTCCATGCGGCTGAGCGTCCAGATCTTCACCACGCTGTCCGCGTTAATCGCCATGACGATGTCGTCTGGCAGAACGGTCACGAGTAACGGGCGTGGCCGCGTGCGAAGGCTAGCAAAACCAGCTGAAGCGGTGTCATCAGACTTGATAGCGATGCACAATGCCACACAAAACACGTCCATTTGTATCTACGGTGAAAAGATGTTCAAGTGTAATGTCGTTCAAGGATGCCTCTTAAGCCTCGCGGCTGAGTGCAACCGACGATTCAAATATTATGCCGCAGAGCACTATCAGAGGTCAACAAGGAGGTTAACTATTACGAAGAATGAGGTCACCCGAATGTTCCGTTCGACTGGAAATGTGCATTGAAATTCACGCGTAAAGCACCGCGTACTGAGGTGCATGCTACAGTTGCTCATGCCATTCAGGACAAGTGTGTACAGTCACACAAACATCTTTTCATCTATCTCCCCGTCTCTTTCTACGCCCACTCTCTCATTCTCGCTCTCGCCCTTGTTCTCGCTCTCCATCACCGATGGATATGGATAGCGGACCCTACGATCATCCGCGCGCACGTGCAGCGCCTGGTCCGCACCTGCCACCGCCTTCGGCTTGAAGATGTGTAGCGAAGTGACCCAGTTGGAGTTGACCTTGGACGACAGCCAGTAGACGACCTCGAGCGTGAGCGGGTGCACCACGGCGATGTCGGCGTACTCGCCGCAGCAGAAGAGCAGCACGTCGGGCGCGTGCGTTGGCTGGTAGGCCTGCAGCACGGGCGGCGGAGGCGGCGTCGGTGCGAGCGGCCGCCACGGTGACCAATCCGTGTGGCTGGCGGCGGCCGGCCCGGCCGGCGCGGCACCGGGGCCGGCCAGCCGGCGCGCAGCGGCGACGCTCTCACACACCGACGCATGGCAACGCTCCAGCGGCACCGTATTCACCACTGGGTGCGAATGACAGTCTTATAAAGTATCCAAAACATTGTGAAATTAATTTCACTATAGCATGTAGGCATGATCTGACACACATATGCTCACATCAACGTTCTGTCACACTTGCAAATGGAAACAATGCTCCTGGCAAATGTCTGGCATAAAAAGCATGTTCGCAGAATGAACATCATACACTCTGCCCAGATCCAGCATACTTTCCAGCGTGGCCAGCGGCATGTGCTACTCAACTGCAGTGGCACGGATGTATGCACCCAGAACCGCCTCCCTTAGATTTGCATCTTCCAAAACCCAACAAGAAGTGAAAACCCTGACATCTGAGGCACCAACATGCAGACATATCGCGCGCACGCACGCACACACACACACGCGCACACGTACACCTACCCACCCACACCCAAACGCACACGCACACGCACACTTACCTCGATCTGCCGGTGAATGAAAGACATTTTCACAGTCTCCATGCACTGGCCCTCGTGTAGATCCCATACGCACATCTCTCTGCCGACAAGGCACGTCCGTGGTGAGTGGAGGCATGGCGCAACTACCGTACACGAATTTCAGCGGGTCAAAGTGTCATTTATCTTGCAGTCTGCCAGTATTCTCTATTCATATTTAGGAGCCTGAATGTCCAGAATGAAGTATCTACTATCTACTTTACTAATAGCTTCAACTGCAAGAAATCCAACACGTTTATGACAAGTCGTTTAACCTTCCCAGTCGCCCGAGTCAGTGTGGGCATGTGCCTGCAAGCGCCCTCGGCGAACGCATACACACGCACACACATGCCACAGTGCCTCAACCCGTTCAGGGCGGCGGAGACCAGGTATCTGTGATTAGTGTGCAGCAGGCCGTTACTGAGACAGACGATTCGAGCTGTGTGGCCCACCAGCATCATGTAGGGGTTCACCTGGAGACGGTCCAAACGAATGCCGGTCACGCACGGGGGAGTCCGAAGGCGATCCAGACAACGAGCAAGGTGTTGATTAATCCCGTTCCAACGTTCACATCGGGTACACTAGCGGGGGGTGGGGAGGGGAGGTGACGGTAGTGTAGTCTTTAACGCGTCTGCGTTGACCACGTGGCATCTGGGAAACAAGAGGTATGGGGTTCGATTCCCCGCCGTGCCCGCCCTTCCTGCCAGGGTGAGAGGCAGGCGACGCCATATAGCCTCAGCAGCTGTGTGTCGTAAAGCCCCAATGACAATGGCACTAGCAGGGGCGTAGTTTCGCAAAATGAGTAGGGCGAGTAGCGAAAAATCCTGCAACCTGCCCCAAAATACACCAACACACCGGTTTCTCCCGGCTTTGGTCCACTTCACAGTGACATCTAGTCACACTAGCGTAACTACTGAAAAGCTACAACTGCATCCACCCTTCACGACCACGCTCGGCGCGAAGTCGACCCACTCCGTGCCAGCGCCAGACACCACACTGACTGCACTTCCACCGGTCCGGGGAAAGTGCCATCAGTGATGGCCCCCCCCCTCTCCAGGGGGGGGGGGGGCATCTGGCCGCGTGACCCCGAGCCGGCCCGCTGCGCACCTCCAGCGTGCTCGGGTGCACATCCCAGGTGACGATCTGGCCGTCGGCGCATCCTGTGACGAGCGTCCTCTGGTCGGGCGTCAGGTAGACGCACGAGATCCGGTGGGTGGGCGGGTGCCGGCCCCACAACACCACCGGCACGATCAGGCTCGGCCCCAGGCTCATGGTGACTGAAGGGTGGGTAGGACAGTGACATTGAGTCAGCAGGGCCACATGGCCAACAAAGAGCATACACAAGCGAAACAGAGTCACACAGGATTATGGTCTTGGAAACATTACGGTTCCACTTCATCCAAACAAAAGAGTACAAAATTTTGCAAAAGTTAGTTTGGAAGTTGCTTCACCTGAAAAATTGTCAAGTTCAAACAGGCAAGCACAAGAGACTACAATGACCAGGCTTAGCTAAAATTCATGCAAGACGGCCACAAATGACACAGAATGTACTGATCACCACACCCATATGTAAATAACTGTTGCAGGTGTCTTAACCCACAACCTCTGGTCATGATTTCACCCACCATCAGGACAATTTGTTGGCTTGGAGAACATTTGCAGGCAACATGTGATGAATTAAACAACATAAGCTGGTGGTAACTAACAGTCATAAGAGCTTCTCAATGACACACACTTACACTGTGATTAAACAAGTGTGTCCCCTCACCTGTCGCCCTTTCTCTTCTCCGCTGGCCAATCTACTGACAACTGCAGAAAATGCAAGGTTGGCCAACAACCTGACACCACCGCAGCATTGGGTCAGTGTACTGGAAACAAAAGATAGAGCATGCTGTCCTAATTTCAGCAAATCCCATGGTGCTCACATCCAACTTCTTCAACCTCAAACTCATATCACACTTCTCTTAGGTTTGCAAGGTTCACTGGAATGAAAAATAACTGAGTGACAAATTGTTTTCAAGAATAGGTTTAACTAAGAAGATAAAAAGAGTAACACTTTACAATATCATGTTGATGAAACATCAGCAGGTACTGAATATTGAATGTAAAACTACTGTTGCACATGCATACAAACATCTTCACTATTTCTGCATTGCATATCCACACATAGCTTTTTGTTTTACTGGGAATTAGTTTGCTGAAACCCCAGAAAGCTGCATGATTATTTTGGTATTTTACACATCACAGCCAAGGCTTGAAATGAAGTGTATCTCTATTCAGGATAAATCATTGGTAAAAATAGCAGAATCAGCATATGGCTTGTGGTCATTAGACCCAGATAAGATGTGTAAATTGTCTAAAAATGATCATTTTGCTCAAATCTATATTGTCAAAGGATATACCAGCCTTGTCTTGCAGTCTCTCACCATAAAAATGCATCGTACATTTCTTGATTTAGCTGCAATTTACATGCTGCCTCAACAAATGTATAATCCATAAGGGGCTGCCCAACAAACAAATTAAACAGTTTTCACTATTTTTTAATGGTCATCTACCATGGTAACCACATGGTTCTCTGAGCACTAAACAATTTTCCTAGTGACAATGTGTTAAGCTTGTCTCCCAAAAGCTTCACACCTGCTTGGCCCCTGGCTGAGCTCGAAGTAAGGCAAGAGAGTGCAGTGTGTTATTTGTCATACAAGGCCAACATTATCCAGTCTTCAAGTCTTGAAATGTAAAAATACTACCTTAATATTATTTTTAAGCACACTTGGGTGTAACAATAAGCTGTCTCAATCATCACTCCTTGTTATGCTTTGGTTATGCTCTATCAAAACCTCATCCCTCCTTTCATGCATGACATAATATGTATGGACCACTCCTAAGCAGTTTATCAACCATCCGTTACCTTATTTACTGGGACATTTGGATATAACGACATAAAGACATCTGGCCACATAAAGACAAAGAGCCACAAGGGCCTATCAAGCCTGGCCTGCCTCATGTTCTGTCAACACCCTTGGAGTACCCAACACCCTTGACACCACCAACTTGAATTGTTTACATTAAACTATGCAGCAATCTTCCCAAGCCAGTATAAATATCAAGTCAGGACAGGATCATCATAGGTTTCAGTGCATAGCAGAAACAAGTCTTGATTTTTCATTAGTTATTATAAGGTAAGCAAATCAAAGACATATCTCATAGGAACAGGAATGACTTCACATGGTTCAATATGATACAAACAATCATCACAACCATCCCATTGCAGCAACACCAGTCATAGAGTAAATTGAACCATTATATTGAAAACATTTTGCTTACCAAAAACTGCTTCAGGGCTTGATATATAAAGTTAAAGTATACTCTTCTGATGCAAATGCTAGTTCTTCTTCTTTGCCACAACATACTCTTTTAAACTTGAATAATTTTGTTAGAGGTTTTGGGCTACGCAAGCGCGCATCTGCGAGGCAGGTGCCCTGTTGGTAATTTGCTATGATGGCATTCTTAGCCATGGCGCTACAAGCTGCAGACAAAGCAAAAAGTGTCAATATAAGTTGCCCCAGACTTTGGTCAGTGTTCAGGAAGCAATATTTAAGGAATTAGTTCTTCTTCCTGTTCAGGCATGTGGAACTGTTCTGATAGGTTAATTACTATACCAGTTATACTGACATCCACTAACTGACAGGCAGCACCAACAGCAGGACTAAAAAACATTTGCATCACATACTTGCCCATAAATGAGCCCTTGCCATATGCTGTTGTGTTTTTAGTTATCTAGGGGAATCCTGCCAGAAATAAACCTACCAGTCCATCACATATCACATCGGGTACATAGGCAGGCGGATATGGCTTCAACTGATTAACAATGTTGGCCTCTGACTATAACAAACTGACAATGTCTGTACAGCACTGCATCACAACAATAAAGTGCTTAATCCCAGGATTATACGACCCAAGTCGTCCTGACGATTCCCACGAACCAAAATGAGCAGATATCCAGTACTGATGAGTCGCATTAACCTCAACACTTACACAGGTACTTGTAGCACAACCCTGATCAATGAATTGCACCACCCCTCCATAAACCAGAGCCTCCACACATACTTCTCAACTGGGCAAGATCTCACAATAACACTTACTCGGGAAGGGGGCAGTTATGGCGCAGGCGCGACAAAACTGGATGACATCAGCTGACTCCTAAGAAAAAGTAATGTTTTTCACGTTTCCAAAATATGTTACGATCAGGCAACATGGTTGTACCCGGTCAAGGTGCTACTTTGCCCGGCGGATACTGACAGCGTACGAACTTTTAGTGGCTTGTCTGGTGCTGCACGCACCGCGTGTTTTAGGCAGCGAGGCGGCCTGTGGTGCCTGTTTTGAAACTATATGATCATGCACTTCTTGGATTGTTATAATGATTCAGTACGACTTTGCTGACCTCGCTTATGCATAACTCTTGAAAGTCTTCTGCAAAAACGTGGGAGTATAGGCAGCGAGAGAAGCGAGTGTGTACTCATTCGCTTTGCTTGGCCCAGATGAGCTTAGGCTTGGCTGAACATTAGGGTTTTCGCCGGGTTTAGCGAGACGTTTTAGCAATGAACAGAGCAGCTGATGAGGCATGACGTAAGCCCACAGAACTTCGGATGTTGTTTGAGTTCGCTCTCGATCTCTCTTACGCTGGGTGTGTTGCTGCGAATCGCTCATTGTATCACCGGGGCTACGGCGTCTCCGTCGGCAAAAATAAGTGAAACAAACACATAGGTGGCGCTTGGGCTGTGGTCTCGTGATCTCTACGATCAGATGGCGCTACGCACGCTCGTATCGGCTCTGCAGTCCTAAAGCTTCCATGCGGATAGATGTTCAGGGGCTTGATGTTTAAGTACAGATGTTCGAAAATCCCGTTATTCCACATTGGTCCAACATTTGTCAGATTGGATCCCATTTATGGAGGGCCCTACACTATCGGGGTCGCTCTTATCGCGGTCGCAATCTGGTAGCCTGCCGGAGCACTCTTGGTCGCTCAGGGTCCATCCTTATTAGTCTTGGGTAAATCTTCTCGCTTGGAAGGCACTGCATTGCTGTCCGGGGCCCATGTGTTCACCTGGCAAGGCACGCTAGATGACTTGGAGGCCCTCCGGAACCCTTTCGGCGGGGGAGGGGCTGAGCCCGCCCCCTCCCCCCAAGGTTCCAGGAGGCTTATCAAAGCATATCGATGTACTGGACCAACTGATCGAGCCCCTCGCGTTTATGTGGGTTTTTTCCCGAAGAAAAGCATAGCATTGCTTATATTGCAGGATCCGCACGTGAAATTGGGGTCGTTTGCTGGCTTAAAAAGAATGGTGAGCGACGACCCAACCATCTTGCGCGACTCATCAGAACGGTCATCGCCCCACAGCGTGCGTTTTCAATCATTTCGCACCTCATCTCTGCGTGGGTTGAGTGCTCTGCCCATCCCCGTCCTCCGGTGCTTACTAACAGTTAATACACTTGAGGCATTAACCACGCTAATTTATATTTACAATAGTTATTAATGCCAGATAATCAACATAAGCTACACGCTCCGCACCCCGTTGGTGTAATGCTGAACACGGCGGTCTCGCTCAAGGCAAGCGGTAGACTCAAGTGCATCAAGGCGCACCCGTGGGTCGGGCTCCCGCATGGGTTTGTCGCTCACAACGGAAAACATTTACCACGATGGACGGCGCAGGCCGACCCATGACATTATCGAGACCGGTCGCTGCACTTGGGCTAACAGGCGGACACCGAATTGCATGTGGATCGGAATTTGGACTTCTTGAGAGGCGGAGACTGTCTATGCAACGAGCAGCTCTTCGCAATGACAGAATTCGACGCATTTGAATCTGACGCTAGCCGCGCCTTCGTTCTTATAAACACGTATGGCTCGTTTTACGTGCATTTCATTCATAACGGGAAACAAACAAAAAGGTATACTCCTTGACAGCATGCCATTAACAATGCGTCCCCGTTCCGCGCGCACAGCCGCGCATAGCAGACAGGTCAGCCCTCCACGACACCCTGGGCCATGGCCTCCGGCAGAGACGGCTGAGGCAGCACCATCTCCGGCAGGGCGATGCCGCCCAGCTTCTCAGCCAGTTTCAGCACGGCGTCCTCCAGCAGCTGGTCTGCGGCGTCCTCGCCGGCCTCCCCAGCGGTCTTCTGGGACGACTCGTTGCCACCCGGCGCCTCCACTAGCACCTGGCACACGGGCGGCTTGGCGAACAGCGTGATGGCCTTTGGGATGTCCTCGTGCATCATCGACAGAAACAGCATCACCTGCATCTGTTCCTGCCTGCACGTCCGACGTGACGTCGCCCAGCACCGCGTAGATGTGATCCTTGTCGAAACGGCGCGTCATCATCGTGTCGACGTCGTCGAGCACGATGATGCGCAGGTCGGCCGCCTTCAGGGCACCTCGACGTAGCATGTCGAAGGCGCGCCCCAGCGTGCCCACCACCAGGTGGCAGCCGGCACTCATGTCGCGCAGGTCGTCGCGGATGCTTGTGCCGCCGATCGACAGGTGGCAGGTCAGTCGCGGCCGGATGAACGTCGCCAGGCCCACCAGCTCGCGATGCATCTGCTTGGCCGCCTCGCGGGACGAGGTGAGCACCAGCGCCTGGCAGGCGCGCTGCTGCGGGTTCACCTTGTTGAGCACGGCCAGCGCGATGGCCGCCATCTTGCCGTCGTCGGCGCCGTCGCCGCGTGCCTGCACCACCACGTCGTGTTCCTGCAGCAGCGCCGGCAGCACCGCCTGCTGGAACGGCGTCGGCTCGCTGGCGCCAGGACGGACTCGCCTGGATGCCGGTCATTAGGTCCGGCTTCAGCTGTAGCTCCTCGAACGAAGTGA